CTTGCCTGTGAAGGGGTCTCCTAGCATCCCCTTTTCATGGCCAGACGTGACTCTTCCCCATGGTCTCTGGGCTGGCGTGGCAATGGTTAGAACCTGGGCCAAGGCAGGCTATTTGGGGCCGGTTTAGGAAGCGGTGGGTGGAAGGAAGCCCTGATACTCTGCCAACACTGGTGCATGCACGTACCCATACGGATATGACCTTTTCCCTCCTGGGCTGAGCTGCTCAACCACATCTCGCACCTTCACCGAAAAAGCACAGCAAGCAGGAGGGATGTCCGTGCAAAGCCCTGCAGAGAAAGGGACCGAGAGCGTGTTCTTGCACAACCCAAGACATGACTACAGCCTCCCTCTCTGCGTTGGTCCGGCTGACACAGAGCAACCCAACGTTGCGCATTGCCTTCAGCCCTGCTTGCACTCATCTGAAAGGATTGTTAAGCATTGGAACAAGCTTCCCAGGGAAGTGGTTGAGTCACCATCCCTGACAGTATTTAAAAATGGGTAGACATGGTGCTTAGAGATATAGTTTAGTGATGGGTTTTTTTGAGTGTTAGGTTGACGATTGGACTCGGTGATCTGAAAGGTCCCTCCCAACCTAGGCAATTCTGTGATCTCTCTTTACAAACCCACTCCTGCATTGCTCTGGGGAGACATGGCTGAGCTGACCAGAAACCAGACTGGAAGCAAAAGCTCCTCCTGAGCAAAAATCTCAGTGGTAAACCCTGACCGCTTATATCTAAATTCACCCCCATCTCCACAGTGAAACACCCCCATCTCTTCCCTAGAAGCTGTTCCCACTCGTTGCTCTTTCCAGAGCCTGTTATCAAGATCTCACAGCTGTCAGGGCAGGAAACGGAGAAATCGGGAGGCCCCGAGGGGCCGCATGAGGTCAAGCAAAGCAGGAAACATGTGGAGCTGCCTCTGCTGCACCCAACGTGGCAGGGCTCAGCGTGCCACCACCAGTAAAGAAAGATGAGTTACCAACAGCATGGGAGGAATCAATAGAGAACTTGGACTGGTGCATCTAAAAGCCTCAGGGCAGGGAAAGTTAGTGTTTTGGGGAGATGTTTTGTCCTTAGGGTGTGGAGGCATTGCAGTCTTGGCTGGAAGGAGCTATGGGACCCAAACAGCCTGGAGTTTGTTCCCAGACTTCTCCAGTGCTTCCAGGAACTATTCCCACAGCTGATGGCACTAGCAGGGAGCTCTGAATGGAAGGGAGACATAATTTGGTTGTTTTCAGACTGTGCAGCTTCTGGATGCTCTGGTTCATTCGGGAATGAAGATCTGTAGGGTTTATGTCAGAATTTACCCAGTGAGTAGATGGGGTGATACTTGGGATGTAAAATGTCCCAAGATTTTCTTTTGGACATCTCCTCTGTGGAAGGGCCTTGTACCACCTCTTCTGCCACATCTCAAGCAGATGGAGAGCTTGAGACATGGGTGGTGTGTTGTTTCCTCCCTCAGGACCACCATGACATGCTGCTGGAGATTGAGAGAGACAAGGCCATCACGGACAAAGTCATCCTCATCCAGAAGGTGGTCCGTGGGTTTAAAGACAGGTAGGTGTGAGCCCCACTGCCAGACGGGGGCTATGTGGGATGCTTCACCCAGCAAGTGGCTCCTGGGGGATGCATCACTCAGTCCTGCCTGCAGCTGGGGAGAGGAAAGCCGTGATGTGTTGGCAGTCAGGTGCAGCAGGTATTGGAGGGCAACAGTAGAGGAAACAAGAGGAAACTGTTATTACCTGCCTCAAACATGGACAGAATAGGATCTTCTGTCCCCGTTCACTGCTGGCTTCAGGGGAGCTGATGTTTATTACGGCAATGCAGCAGTGGGACTCCGAGCCTGCTGAAGGCAATGTCTCCATCTATGGAGACATCTCCAGTCTATGGGGATCCCCACAAGACTGCAGTGGGGCCATTGGGTTGTCCACTGTGACTAACGTTACTCTCCCCAAAGCCCGAGGAGTTCAGGCCTCTTCCCTTTGTAACCCAATTGCCACAGACTTGGGAGGAGGACAGGTAGTCCATGGGGAGCTGATGCCTCAGCTGTAGAGGGCAAGGGGAAGCCACAGCTGAGATCAAGCTTCAGCCATGGAGGAGAAAGAGTTCTTGAGGCTTTGCAATCTTTGAATTTCCAATCCATGGCTGTGACTCAGGTTGTCCCTGAGGCTTTACAGAAAGGGCACATGCCGAATAACTCAGTAATCCTTTCCAGAGTAATCCTAGCGAGACCCCCAAGTCCTCCCGACACAATTGTCCCCTAGGTGTCTACATGCAGAATCAGGCCAGGCTAAGGAGGATGGGAGGCGTGCTGACACCCCTAGGTGTCTACATACAGAATCAGGCCAGGCTAAGCAGGATGGGAGGCAGCAGGGTGGTGTTGCTGAAATTTGCTCTTGATCTTGGGTGAGATCGGCTCTGTTCTCAGGTGGCTGGGATTGAAGTGAGGAGAGAAGGCAGGGAGGATATTTCAGGTGAGAGAGGAGGGTAGAAAAGTAAGGAGACGACCATTCCCAGCATCTCCTCCTCTGCTCATTCCCATAACCTGATAGGATCAGCCTGCAGAGACCTATCAGAGAGAGCCCCCTAGATCTTTTTATAAAAGCAAGGAGAGCTTGGGGAGGAGGCATTTTCAGGCAAAAAAAAAATAATAGTGCAGTGTTTACTCCACCTGGCTGCTCAGTTTCAAATCTCCAAAGAATGAGGCCCAGAAGATGATAACTCATGGCCAAACCATGAGGTCAAGTGATTGAAATGCCTTTGCAGGTCCAATTTCCTGAAAGTGAGAAATTCAGCCCTGATGATTCAGAGGTACTGGCGTGGACATAACTGCAGGAAGAACTACGGCGCTGTAAGTACAGGGGTGCTTCCTCACACCTCTGCTTTCCTACCTCTTTCGGCTGGGACATACGTAAGAGTTTCCTGGATCAAAACATCCCACTGGGTGTAGGAAGGAGTGGGGTTGGCTTTTATCAGCTGGAGCAATGAATGGAGGTTTGCTCTTGCTGCTTTGCCCTCTCATTGAAGAGAGCAACTCACCACCTTCTAGCTGTTCTTTTTTCCCCAAGAGTTAGATGTCCATTGCACCAACTGGTCATTTGGGGTTTTAAAAGTCTTCTCCTAGTTGCCAGGTGACTGAAAACTCACAAGCAGCTTCCTCTGAAAAACAGACTCCATCTCCATGTGGGTTTGTATCTGGGTTTCTCCTCAACCTAGTCCATGGCCCTCTTCTACCCTTGTCCCAGCTGGTTCTCACCCAACTGCAGGTCATTTGGGAAGCATGTTGGGGTCTAAAGTGACTCCATATCATCCTCCAAGCCTGTGACTTGATAGGAATGTCCACTTCCAGGTTTGTCAGGATGCTGCCTCCTGCCATGAAGCAGCACCTTGGCTGCCATGCAGGTGGTCTGTAGATGCTGGACCTCCATGGGAGCAACCCTTACGGAGTGTGGCTACCTTAAGATGACCAACCAGACCTCCTGAGGCCTCTCAAAGCCAGAATCCCTGTAGGACTCAGCAGGGAATAAGTGCCCTTTGAATCAGTGCAGCAGCTGAAGGGCTTAATTTCTCCACCCTCTTGCAGAACCTCCCTCCCAAAGGCTTGTCCTGGTGGGGGCTGATTTCTGTAGCTCTTATATACAGCCGTGCAAGAGGGAGATTAGCGAGGTAAATCAGCTTAGGGGGGGAGAGACCCTGGGCAGCGAGGTGGCTTCATCCTGCCCCCCTCTCTTGGCAGATGCGGATCGGCTTCCTGAGACTGCAGGCCCTCTACCGATCCCGCAAGCTCCACAAGCAGTACCACATGGCTCGCCGGCGGATCATCGAGTTCCAGGCACGATGCCGAGGTTACCTGGTCCGTAGGGCTTTCCGCCACCGCCTCTGGGCTGTCATCACCGTCCAGGCCTATGCCCGGGGCATGATCGCCCGAAGGCTGTATAAGCGCCTCCGGGGGGAAGTAAGTACCATGGAGGGAGAGGTCAGTGGTGGGAAACGGAGGTGGGGAGAGGGGAAATCAGCATCCTTCTGCACCACGTGGTCTTGGGATTAGTCTTTAAAGAGCAGAAAGGAATTTCAAACATAAGTAGGTGCCTATTCGGAAGGGCTCTTGTGTTTATTCCCCCAGTATCATCGACGCCTGGAAGCAGAGAAACTTCGGCTGGCGGAAGAGGAACGGCTCCGAAAGGAGATGAGTGCCAAGAAAGCCAAAGAGGAGGCAGAAAAGAAGCACCAGGTACGCGGAGACCCATCTCTTTCTGCTGTTCTGTCTCTGTTTTCCAGGGACTGGTTTTGTTCCTTTGAGGGGGAATGCCAAAAATATCTAAGGGCTTGGGTGAGATCGGCTCTGTTCTCAGGTGGCTGGGATTGAAGTGAGGAGAGAAGGCAGGGAGGATATTTCAGGTGAGAGAGGAGGGTAGAAAAGTAAGGAGACGACCATTCCCAGCATCTCCTCCTCTGCTCATTCCCATAACCTGATAGGATCAGCCTGCAGAGACCTATCAGAGAGAGCCCCCTAGATCTTTTTATAAAAGCAAGGAGAGCTTGGGGAGGAGGCATTTTCAGGCAAAAAAAAAATAATAGTGCAGTGTTTACTCCACCTGGCTGCTCAGTTTCAAATCTCCAAAGAATGAGGCCCAGAAGATGATAACTCATGGCCAAACCATGAGGTCAAGTGATTGAAATGCCTTTGCAGGTCCAATTTCCTGAAAGTGAGAAATTCAGCCCTGATGATTCAGAGGTACTGGCGTGGACATAACTGCAGGAAGAACTACGGTGCTGTAAGTACAAGGGTGCTTCCTCACACCTCTGCTTTCCTACCTCTTTCGGCTGGGACATACGTAAGAGTTTCCTGGATCAGAACACACCACTGGGTGTAGGAGGGAGTGGGGTTGGCTTTTATCAGCTGGAGCGATGAATGGAGGTTTGCTCTTGCTGCTTTGCCTTCTCATTGAAGAGAGCAACTCACCACCTTCTAGCTGTTCTTTTTTCCCCAAGAGTTAGATGTCCATTGCACCAACTGGTCATTTGGGGTTTTAAAAGTCTTCTCCTAGTTGCCAGGTGACTGAAAACTCACA